AAAAAAAAAAAAAAAAAACATCTATCCTAGCCCACCGCTTCTCATAATTCAAGAACTTTTCCACAATATAAATAGATCCCTTACAATCATTTTGCAAAAGATCATTAAATCAGAACTTCAAACTCTCAAATTAGAGGACCAATAACATGATTAGTGTAAACAACCAAACAGAATAATCTCATTTAAAAACTTTTCATTAAATGCTAAAAAATATTAAAATAAGAAAGAAAGAAAGACTCTTTCTCTCAAATCTCTTAAGTAACAATAGCCTCTCACACAAAAAATAATCATATTTTATGATTTCTAGGAGAGTATTTATACTGAATGACTTTAATTTGAAACCCTAAACTGTCGTTATAATTTTTTTTTTTTGCATAGATCATAGAGTATTATACTTATATATCAGTACGATTAGCTGACTAGGACAAGCCCAAAAAAATATCCCTATTTGATTGAACTATACTATATAGATCATACATAATGATTAATTCATTTAGGTGATTTTCTTGGAAGAAATTTCTCTATTTAATCGACCTGTACAATACAAAGTGCATACTATGATATTTTTCGAGATTTGATTGTTAATTTGCTCTTTGATACGTGAGTGTTAATTATGTTAACTTCTTACTTCATCATATAGTTCCATCCTTTCAAAATTTGAGTAGACCTTATTAAGAAACGGAGCATATGGCGGTTATCAAGTTTTCTTTTAACTAGTTCAATACGATTTGCTTCGTACATTATTATTAATTTAAGATTTTAAATTTGAATTTTCCCATAATCAACACAACTTGATCTTTCCAAATTATCAAAAATGTCACGCACAATGTTAAGTATAATTAAGTTATCATACAATATGATAGTTAAATGTCAAGTTGTCTTGTTTAATTATTAAAATAATTTTCAAAATTATTTTATCTTATGTTCTCGTATATTTGTGCTTGGTTATTTTATATCAATAATATACCAGGCATATACAAGAAAGCATGACTCATAAGTAAAAGTTTAAGTTCTCAGTTCTTCGGTAATCTTCTTTTGCCTTGATGGCTTGAGATTCTACATAGACTACTCTCTTGAGCATGGCAAATTATTGCATTCGGTCATCGGACGCGGAAAATAGGTTCGGACACCAATAAAAATTTGCCACGTCACCTGTGCTTTTGACTGCGCTTTTGACTTGCGCTTTGACTGCGCTTTTGACTGCGCTTTGACCTGCGCTTTACCTGTGCTTTTGACACGGTTAATTTAAAATAATATTTTATTAATATCCCGACCTATCTCGCGTTCGATGACCGGATGCAATAATTTGCCCTCGAGCACATAATAAAATGTACAATTTTCAGCTCATGGTTTCCATCAGGTTTGCATTTATAGTCCTATCTCAGACTTCTCCTAATACATACCAACATTTGTCAGTATAAATTAAAAAAAGTACACATAATCATATTAGCCAAAAATCTATGCAACCAAAAAAAAAATTATCATCAAAATATCAAATAAGTTCTTAGGCTCATGGGGCTTAATGCTCATCCAAACCGTCGATACTCACATGACACAGTCACACTTCCTCACACACTCTCCAGTTGATCTGTAGGCCTTCCCTTATTTTGAACCAAGTTTCATATATATTTTGCCAAGAAAATAAATTGCAAAAACTTCTAATTAGTTATGTTTTTTTAAAGCATATAAAGATAAATTTCTCTTAGTAAATAAATTATTGAAATAATGGTGCTCCCTTGAGAATTAAATTCTCATTTAAATCTAATAAAAAATTATTTATAATATTTTTTAATTAAATCTTTTATCATATATAAAATACTATTAATATTAATATATTTAAAACAAAGTATATTTTTTATGTACATAATTTGATATATTTTAAAAATTACAATAATATATAAATAAATATAAATATTTAGATATTATATATATTAATAGATAATAATTTTATGATATGTAAATCACCTATAAACTAATACAGTTAATTTAAATCATAAATTAATTATACAATTCCCGAAACCCTCTTCTACTACGAAGCGCGAGGAGGTTCTCGACCACGATCTCCGCGAAAGCCATCGACGGTGCCGGCAGATTCTAAAGGAAAAGTAGAGTTCGTGCTTCGGGGAAGAGACGCCCGGATTTAGATTAAATTCGTGGAATCCTTGGATTTAGTAAATCCGAGGTTTAAGGTAAGATGGGGAATAAACAGGGTTTTAACTTACTGTAGGACTTAAATTGCAATTTTCCCGCAGCCGAGCAGCCTCTTTAGGGCTTTCCAGTTACCCGGATTCTTTTTTTGTTTTTAATCTTTAATTTCTGAGCACTAATTTTTTGTTTGTCTGCAGTGTGTAAAGCGAAGCCTTCGCCATTTCCTTTCGCGTTACGTGATTTCTTGAAGTTCTTTCTCCGGCAACTAATTTGCCCTAGGAAACATGCAGGTGTGTTCCGATTATCTAAGCTAGTGCTATAAATATAAGTGATAATGTCTAGCCAACAGGATCAATTCATTTATTTTCGTATAAAGCTTGATCCAAATTTGTGCATGATCCAAAATTTAGGGGCTTCTTGGCAGCAAGTAGGATTTACTAAATCCTCTAAATTTGGATTTACTAAATTATGAGAATGTTAATCCTCAAAACTGTTTGGCATGTCAGATATTAAATTTTGATAAGTTTTTTGGCTAAATAATTCAAGATTTAAGTGTTTAATTCAAATAGCATTTACATATAAGACAACAACAACAACAACAACAACAACATCAAGCCTTTATCCCACTACGTGGGGTCGGCTACATGAATCCTTTTTTTCCATTGTGTCCTATTAAAAGTCAAATTTTCGTTTAAATCTAATAAGTAAAGGTCATTCCTAATATTTTCTAACCAAGTCTTTTTAGGTCTACCCCTACCTTTCTTAACATAAGTCAAATCTAATACATCTACTCTCCTAACCGGGTCATCGCAAGGTCGCCGTTTTATGTGACCAAACCATCTAAGGCGACTTTCTCTAATCTTATCTTCTACTGGAGCTACTCCAACCTTTTCACGTATATGCTCATTTCGTATCCTATCTCTAAGGGTAAAGCCACTGACTTCTCTCCCAAACTGTTGTGTTTACGTTTCATCTTCATCATTGACTTCTACCTCATTGAAAACACTATCATATTGCATCTCGGTTTGAGACATTGAAATAAAGATCATGTTTGTGATAGCAACCAATAAAATTGTGCTACATTGCAAAAACAAGCACAATATCTACTCGAACAATCAAAGAAAATTGTTGCATGTGATTAAAAGTTAAAAGATCTCTTTTCAAATGTAAAATATTCTCTTTACTATATTGCATAATTATGCGTGGTGATGATTTTACAACCCATGTTCGGTTGAGTACCTACAAGATGTTTCTCCATAGTGTTCACTTAAATAATATTGATATCATCTAAAGAGTGCCATGAGCTTATGAGTGTTAGTGTAGCCGGAGTCAACAAAATGATATTTTCTTCGTGGTATTGTAAACTCTCTCCTCCATTGCCCATAGTAGCACCCTTTTATTGACTGTAGTCCCCTCCCAACCAGATGTAACATAGAAAAATTGTTTAAATTAGACCGTTGTGATAAATTCTGAGAAGTAAACCCTTTTTTGTTGCAGTATCTATGGGGAAAGTTAATGAACTCCTTCGCACCAGATTGAAATATCGACTCACTATCTCTAGAGTGTTGAAAAAACTCACACAATAGCTTATAACTATGTGCATTTGTAATCCTTCTAAGAAAAATACCTAGTTATTTATCAACGATCATATACCTTGTGTCACTCAGTATGCCTCGACTTACCAATAATTCCATAAGCTGTAAGAATGCCTTTGATGGAATCCTAAGCCCGACCACAGTGGATGTCCATAAACTACATCAGCTACATACTATTGCCATGTATATGACCTACTGAACATATGCTTTTGCAAATGCATCTCCTCATCTAATGAGCTTCTATCCTCCATAATTGATATTATCAGCTGAATTGTAGGATTATTAAGCTCTTGATTTGTACCAACCATGTTACAAAGTTCATTAGGAAAGCTGATCTATTAAAAATTTTTCCATTACTAACATATTAATATAGACAACATACATTTAGTGAATATGACATCCAAAATTTTAATAGCAAATAAGAAGATACTTGCAAAAATTAAAAAAATGGCTGCAGAGTTGAAGTTGGCTACAATGCCCAACAAATAAATAACTTAAGAGCACAAACTGAGCAGAGAGAATGACTAGCAAGTAATTTCATAAATGAAATTGAATAAAAAGCAAGTTTAACACTTAATAGTGCAATATGAACCAAATGCAACTGCATAAAAATTGGAATTACTACAACCAAGTAGTACAAGCATGGAAGCGAGGATAATGGTTGAGCACATATTCATTCCAATTGCTTAGAAAAATTCCATGCCAAGTCACAAGCGTGATTGTATTATTGCTATTTTGCATTAGAGTCTCACGAACAACAATGGTAATATTAGTGGATATGTTCTCTATGGTACTTAATTTGTCCAAATATTTTGATATCATGTATGAAAAATGTCTATCAATTGTCTCTCTAAGCATCTCTACATTTTCTTTATGTCAAACTAGCAACTTGGTCAATTTCTCCTTATTTCCCTTTTTTTTGTTCATCCTAATTGCCAACCTACTTCCTCATTGGATCTTTTGGTTTCATTAATGGGAACTAGATGTGGTTGAGTTTCAGTCTTCTCCCTTGGCTTTATATCATCCCATGGCTTTGTCTGATACAAGTCATTTGTGAAGCTCACACCATGTGCGGACATAAAGTCATTAATGAATGGTTCGACTTGCTCTCGTTCGGGTTGGTGTCTAGAACTTTTTTCATTGAGCTTTGAGTTATCATGCCTTTTACAATGTTGTCACCATAGATCTTCTCAAAAATATACTAGTGGAAAGGATTCCTATGAAATTGTGCCATCTTTGGGTTATCCTATAATGAGAAGATTTTTTTTATTATGTGCAGCATAAGTCATTGGATCTGTAGACTAAACCTCTATTGACCTAAAGCAGAAAGATCAACTAAAACATTGTACATATATGATCTCATCCCATGCATCATCATTTGCTATATGGCGTACAAATCTTCATCTCATCCCCAACCACTATGATTTGAAAGTTGATCAGAAATCAGATCTCATGTTCTTAAACCTTGTCATAATGACTATGTCTGTATAGTTAGTTCCCAAACTTTGATTTAATGTGTCCATAACCTCACATCATGCTTCCTTTTTTAGCACATTATTTATAATATTTTCATATCAGAATTGCTCCATGTACAACTCCCCTAAAACAACATTATATTTCTCTGGCCACTTGGGGGTTGTACTTGTACACTTTGGCTAATTGGTGCTGATGGACACCTATTCGTCAGCTTGCAGCTTAGAGCTTGAGAATTGCAGCTTCTTATTTTTCAGGAATCTCTTCATTCCTGTTGCACAAGTAGTTAAGTTCCATTTACATGCACAATAAGGTTGAAAGGTTGCTTTTATAAATGTTAAAGTAGTTTACGAAATATACCATTGTTATTTTGAATTTTCCTGAATTGATGGTCAGTTTGGCTACATGGTAGCTTGTTGATATTTGACAACTCCTTATGACTCACATAGTCTAAAATGCCTAAAGGATTGCCATGAGAATATTTTATCTTAAATTGTGCTGAAAGCTTCAAGGACTGATTGTCTTTATTGGATTTTCTCCTTTCTTTTGTAGTTTGTTTGTATTCATTAAAACAATTTTTATTCTAACGTATGGCTTTATTGTAGTTGTTCGCAACATCTTATTAGTTAATCATATTAATTTTTCTTGAAAAAAATAAGTTATACTTTAATTGTTATTGCATAAAAATGACTTAAATTATTATTAATTATAATTAAGTTAGTAGCAGTGCATAACAGTCAATTAGCAGAAGAATTATACGCTAAAAACATAATTCAATTCTTTACAAAAAGAGTTAAACAAGGATATCTATGAATTTTCCATAACTACAAAAACAAAGGGTTCTTTTCCCAGTAATTAATTGAAGTTGGATGAGATTATCGCCTTGTATCAAGCATAGATGAGAAATAGAAGTTCAATCCTTACTAGAGTCTAGATCAGATCACGCTAGATACTATAAGTTTGTATCAAATTAAAATTAGATATTTAATTATTAGTGTTAATACCTATAAAAGCGTTTGCAATAGTGGATTTATTTAACGATGGAATTTTGTTTGGAGTTAAATTGTAGTTAAAATTTCTAAAGAAGTATCTATGATGCCATGAATTAAATTTGAAAATTTCTTATATGACTACAACATTATCACTAAATAGAGAGATATTATAAGTAGTGTTACAAAATGCTGCGAACTGCTAAGTAAGGGATGGGATTTCGATCACTAGATAAGGTGATGTGCTCTGATAGAAATATTTTAACTTGGAGCCCCATGACAAGGAGATATGAGAGTTCTCTTCGAGTGCAGCATAAAGCTCGTTAAATCTGTTGAACTATTAGATTTAGTAAATTTTGGTTTTACGAAAAAATTGGGTGAAAATAGGATTTAAGATATCGTAGGATTTACAACATCTGTTTTTGGCATTAGTAGGATTTAGCTTAAATCCTGCTTAAAACCAACTCAAATCCTGCATGCAAACATCCTCTTCAAATTTCTTCAAACTTTTATTTTAACAATCATCAAGCTTTAATTGAGCCAAGAATAACAAGTCATCATAAGCTATTAAACCATCATTGAATAAGCTTGTTTTATGGAGCTCTTGGTGAGCTGCGTATTAAAAAAATGAATGTGTAAACTTAAATGAACAAGAAAGCCAATGTTCCCCATTGGTCATTCATCTGTCAACTTAAAATTTTGTCCAATTTTTTTCAATAATTAAAAATAAAGTGAGTTATATATGAGGGAGTGTTGAGTAATTCATCGAGTGAACTAGTTTCCTTACAACCCTAATCTAAATGGCATCTTTTTTCTTTCACCTCCTTTTAAGCAGAAAAATGCTGACCCTAGGTTGGAGAAGATCTATAGGTTCAGGAAACTTTTTTTTTTCTATAATTCATTTCCATTCCATTGGTTACGATATGGAGACGAGCATTATGATTGCTTAAGTGGTTTATTTTTTAGGTAGAAAGTATTAATGTAAGTGAAGCTCATACTTCAACATCTAACTCAAGAAGTTCTACATCTATATCTATGTGTTCATCATTATGCTCCTTGCTTAATTTTGTCATCTTCAATGTGCGCTGACATGATCAAAATTTCATGTTCGCTAGGGAATGCAAGAATGTGGTTCTTTCTTTCCTTAAGCTATCATTAGTTTGCTGTGTATGTGATATTTGCAAGCGATTGCTGTGCATTCATTTAGGTGTTAATGGATGATCTATGTTATCCTATTACTTTCTTTTTCATATCTCTAACCATAGCTTTGAACGGTTATTGGAGGAGTAAATGGTATACATATTGCCATGAACTTGTTTCTAACAACTAAATTAAGATTATAATCTCAACTAATTGTAAAATCTTGAAAGATATATGGATTAATTAGCATCACCAATATGAGGCTTTGTTTACATCTTTTGAAAACTTGCATTAAGTAGCATTCGGCATAGCCACCCAAGAGAGTTGTAATTATCTGTTATATTTTATGTTTGTTGTAATTCATCAGTTACAAGTATAATGATAGTACTACATTGTCTTGAATTAAATAAAAAATAATTTTATATTTTAGGAGTTTTTGCTAAGATGCATATGAGAGTGTAGAATACTCCCGCATTGAAAGCGAAACTAGCTGTTAAGATTTTTTTGGTATTAGTATTGACCCTTACATGTTAGTTTAAACTTTTCGGTCGTGTTTGTTCATCCACAAGTGCATTTAGCTTCACTCTAGCCTGTAGTGTGCCACCTTTCTTATAAGTTGTATTAGAGTTGATATTTTGGTTGGTTAATTTTTGATGCATTTTGTGTTTTCTATGCATGTTCGTGGCTTCAAAAGTGACTCCTACATAGGCTCTAAATGGATGAGTGAGCTCATGGTGTATAACATTTGATTGTGTAAAAAGCTTTTTTTTTTTGGGCATTATGGCTAAAGTGGAGAATTGATATTTGATTAGTGGAATTGTTTAGATGCGCATGAGAGCGGACGATAGTTTCACTTCAAAAGTGAAACAAATAGTTGGATATTTTGATATAATGGTATTGATCTTTTCCCATTGATTTAAGCTTTTGGTTGATGTATCTTCATCAACTAGTTTTTATTGGGCTATGTTTGGGCCTTCATCAAGTGATATTAGAGCTAATGGTTTTGCTGGGATTTAGTGTTGAATGAGATTTGTGGCTCCCATATGTCTTAGCAACTTGTTCTATGATCAATGGTTTAAGAGCTGGTTACTCCTATTTAGTATCCATTGGATGAGTGGACTTTCATTATATGCCTTTTGATGGTGCTAGAGAGCTTTCGTTTGAACAGGAGTAATGGAAGAGATAGAAAAGTCTACTGTGCGGGGGGATATTGTTTGGATGCGCATGAGAATGAATAGTTTTACATTGAACTTGAAACAAAATGTAAAGTATCTGGTATACTAGCACTAACCCTTGCTCATTGGTTTAAGCTTTTGTTGATGGTTGGCCATTTACTAATTATGCCTGTAATAAGCTCTATTTGGCCCTCCATTGTTCCGCCCTACTTAGAGCTAACTCTAATTTAAATATGTCTTATTCTTTTATAGTGACCAATAACTTCTGTTCTTTAGTAGCAAGTTTTTGAAGCTGTGGACAGAGAGGGTGAATATCTCTTTTAACAGCAGCTGGAGTGCAGCCAAGCTATAGCATTATTTGTTACTAATGCAAGAACAGTGCACAATTGAAGAGAACTAAGCCTTTTATTTTTTTTTTTGTTCAGGCCAGTGATAGGTTTAACATTAACTCCCAGCTTGAGCACCTTCAAGCTAAATATGTTGGAACAGGGCATTCTGATATGAATAGATTGTGAGTGCTAACCCTTAGAAAGTTACTTCACGACCGTTATATTTTGTATTAGTTTTTCGGTACCTTTTTAATTTTTCCGTAATGTGAATGCAGTGAATGGGCTGTTAACATTCAACGTGACAGTTATGCATCTTATGTTGGGCACTACCCCATTTTGGCATACTTTGCCATTGCAGAAAATGAATCAATTGGAAGAGAGCGCTACAATTTTATGCAGGTTAGCATATGATTGTTGATTTTTCTTATATAGTTCCTGATTTATTAATCTGATTGAAAAAATTATTACATCTTATTTAAAATTATTTATTTGACAGTGTAAGTGAAAATTGATTTTCAGATGCAATCATATAAATGATGTGTCCTTGTTAGATTCAATCTTAGAATAATGTTGTATGTTTATATATTTTAGTATTTAAAACCATTTTGATTTACTTCTTAAAATGATATGTTGATTTGACGATGTCAGTTAGACATTTGATGTGGTAGAAATCTGTGACATTGGCTTCGGGGAGCCAACCTCACCCCCATGTTATTTGGGAAGCCATATTTTTTAATTTCTCAGTGGCTGGAAATCACTCTTTCTATGACATATATGTTTGACGCAGTTCTCCGTACATGTTAGGTGCTGCGATAATCATGGGGAAGCTGCACAAAATTATTGATGTAAATTGTTTTTCTTAACATCCTTTTTTTATATTTTTGTCCTAGCAATGAATTAATTTTTGTGAATATGGTTGATATACAAAAAGTGGTCAAACTGTTTAGCAAGGGCTGTTACCATATTCTTCATGGAATCAGATGTTCTGAGGATGAGTATATAAAATCTTTTAACAATCTATGTAGTTCATGGTGCTTAAAGAATGAACAACTTAAAGTGAAGGCTGTAATATCCCCGCTTGTTCATTAATTTTTAGATTATATAACAATTTTAAGGGGCATTGGGTGGTGTAATGGAGCTAATGGCAATGTTGACAAAATTGAGATAGATTTGTTGGGGATTTAATTAAGTTTCAAAATAACATATTGTATAAAATTAGTAATGGTATGCCCCATTGGATCTTTTGTCAAACAATTACCTACATTTAACATATCACGACATAGATATTGTGAGATCAAAGAAAAACCATTTATACATGATATTGGAAAGGCAAAGTTAGTAGTGTGGACAATTTGATACAAACCATTGATCATTTTATATATGGTCAATATATAGTCAGTACCATAGTCATGGTTTCAGGATGTTATGGTAGATAGCCAGATAAGTGTATTGTACAGGTAATATGAATCTGTTTTGATAATTAAAATCATGGTATTTCAGTTAATAAAAGGTTTATTTGTGTGTTAATTAATTTATAATGGATTTTATATGGGAGAGCATACATCTTGCATTCTTGTCACTGCTTTTGCTTTTGTTTTCTGTTCAGTTTGCTATTTGAATTAACTCATAATCCTTCTAAAAATTCTTGTGGTTCTAATGTAAACGTCTATCTCTGTTGCACCCATTTTTTATTTTATTCTGTTGATTTGATCAAGTTTTGTTGTAGTTGGATGGTTCTGGTTTGAATGGAAATTACCTATTTAAAACTTCTTAGTCTTTAATGGAATCATTGTGAAAAAAATCTTAAGCCCCTCCCTCCCTATTCAATTATTAATTGACTATTTGAATACAAAGATCTAGAAGTCTAGCCTTGGTCCTTGGAATGGCTAAGGTATTTAGGTTAGGATATTTGTGGTGGATCCTGGCAAGAAAATTAATCCACGTAGATATCCTTCTTGTAAGGGCTTTTGACCAAGTGGTCTAGGAGAGCCATTGCAATATTAATGCCTTTTGAAGGACACAAAACTGTCTTAAAAGATATCATATTGGGACACTTATAAATCATAGAACACAACAATATATGTGTTCCATTAAAAGCTATTATTATAACTGTTGGATGCTTGATGTGAAACAAACTGGGAGTTACTTTAAGAAATTAAAGAGAGAATTAACAAAGTGTTTCCACAATAAATTTATTACTTATAACAATGATTGATCCTTAGAATTCTTGGTTTTGACTTGCTTAGGCAAAGAAGAGCAAGGCCGATTCCCAAACAATTCAAGAAAACGCAAAGAGCAATTGTAAAACTACGACGATACACAAGAATCCATGATTTAATAATGAGAACTTTCACCTTTGGAGCCCATACGCTCAACTAGTCTAGGCTTTAGCGGAAGAAGAATCTCCACATTAGAACCGAGGTCACTCCGAGGAAGAAGCCTAAGATCGTCGTTCTTGGATAGGTGGCCGGAGTGGTGGAGGATGACGGTCGTCCAATGATGATCCAACGTCGCTTTGATTTTTGCTCGTTGATCACATCAACTAATGTGTAATGGATACGGTCGATGTAATCTTCAATAGTCTCGTCGAAATCGAAGCCCACGTCAAATAACGGTGATTGGAGGATGTCAACTTGATCTCGATCGTCATGTACAAATACAAAGTTCCATTCTAGTTCCGCCATGCATCCTGGCCAGAAGGGAATGAAACACCCAAAGGGAAAAGAGGGAGAAGGGGGAATTCGGGTGGGAGGAAAGGAGGGGGTGTAGGAATTCTGAATTAAATTCAGATTTTGGATGTTTAATGGTGGGATTTAATTTGAAATTCAAATTAATCCAAGGAGGGGAGGGGGCGACAAAGAGAGGAGGGAGCTGGGCTGATTTTGTGGAGCTATTAGGGTGATTATGAGAGAGAGGAGTGGCCGGCCAAGCTAGAGGAGAGAGGGGGTTTCGGTTTTGATGAGGTGGGGCCACTTGATTATTCTATTGATTGGATTTGAATAAATTCTGAAATAATTTCAGATTTATTAGAGGAAACGTTTCCAAAATGGGGAGTTATCAATTAGAAGTTGTCACGACCCGGCCCGGTTAGCTCGTATAGACGAGGCGGGAACGGAAATTGGACAGGCAAATAAACCATAACTTCTAAAACTTTTTA